AATACTAAGGAAGGGGCAGTGTTACGACAGCGGAAGTCACGTGACGCTGGTAACACTTCATGATATTCTAGAAGGATCATGTCTGTTAGTAGCAACTCTGGTCTTTTTTACGGGCCCTCTATTCCTGTATACAAGTGCGAAATTAATTAATCGGGATAGAGTTGCAAACAGACAGAGACGGACAATTGAGTCAAGCTCGGTAGTGACCGTAAGAAAAGTGCGTGAATCGTTGTGAATTGTAGCGTGTGTTTAAATGAAAGTGACTGTGGAAATTAAGTGTATTGCAAAGTTGAGTTGAGAAAGAATAAACTAATTTTATTTAAGAAAGAACTTGTATCGCTGAAGTTTCTCGGAAAGAATTTCTACGAAAAATTAACAAACGAACCCAGAAACGTAACAATATGTTTGAACCAGATTATACCAGCGTGAGTTGTAAATCACAGGAAAGGTTTAGCAGAGCAGTATCACTGATACTGATAGTATCATTTCCCGCGTATTTGATTTCACAAGTATTTAAAATATCTACATAACGTTACAAGTGCACATTAAACTAATTATACGTATATACAGTATAAACTTAGTTTTATCAATAGTAACTTTATTTCCAAAAGCTAAAGGCAGGTTGATTTTATAAAAACTGTTGTGTCCCAAGTGTTTTGCTCTTTGCTTTTTAAATTCAACTGTTAAACTAAATCAGTAAATGTTTTTAAAACTATGTTCGTTCGGTGCATAAGCAGAACGCAAGTTCATCACTTGTACTTATTTGACAGATTTTGGAAGAACTTTACTCATGAAAGTCAAAAAGTGGTAAACTACAAAATCATTACGAAGAACAAAAAAATCCTCCATTTCAGACAAATTCGCAATAACATTAACATTACGACCTCCAGGTAAGTCTTAAATACTAGTACTAATGTTTCACTTAAAATTAACTTACCAGCTTTAAATTAAATGTAAAGTTTACATTGTGAAATTTAAACTAAAGTAACGGCCTATGTGTTATTTATTTTATAGGAATACATTGTGCGATTAGCATCGGAACTTACAAGTTACATTAATTATTTTTGTGTGGTGCAATTAGCATCGAAACCTACAAGTTACATTAGTTATTTTTGTGTGGTCTCTGAATCTGATGATTAGGCTTTACAATTATTACAGTTTACTACTGACGAGTACTGTTTACATAGGTTATTGTCAGATAAGACTATTGAATGTGGATAACCTAGATTTTCACTGTTATATTTATTTTTGAAGGATTAGAATTTACATTATACTAAGCAGAACCTGAGCACAGTGTGTTGTTAGGTCAATTTTTTATATGTTATGCGATGCTTCTAGTATAACCAATAAGAAGAAGCAATTCAGTTAAGCCAACTATGACTTGCATTCCACACCTCCAACAAATCCTTAAAAATAATTAAAATAACTAGGATTCATTAATCTAAAGATTATCAAAATTAAGAACTTAGGTTAGTTTCTGCTCCTATAACACTGATAGTGATAAAGTCTATTTTAGGAAGATGTTTTTGTATTATTTTCTTCATAGACCACTTATTTCAAACCAATACAGTAATACAGAGGTGGACCACATGATGTAAAAACCGAGTTAAAAGAAAGATTTAGAATTTTAATTTGTTTTCTCTTAGAGTATAAAGAAGTACAATTGATTTGTATAATTGTCTGTCTAACTCTAGTGGTAAACTAGATGTTTGTAAAAAAAATCCAGACATGGTTGCTTCTCTGGTAGTATTAAGAGGAAAAGTGGTGTCAACAAGCTAAATATCTTCTATTCTGCCATCCATTGTTATATACACTTTTGTAAAGTGACAAAATATACCTTAAGCTTTGTACTATTTAACATTTTAGCATGACTGATACACAGTAAATTACTTACCTGCTGTTAAATCAGGGACTGCCTCAAAAACTTGAAAAACAAATGTTTCTTTTTTTAAAAAATAGTGTAATGCCTCTGATATTATATGTTTCTTTAGATACTAAGAATATTATAATATTATTAATAATGTAGTATCCCTGGTTTTCTGTATGACAGAATTTGACTGCTGTAGTTATATTTACCAGCATCTTTTCAAGTGTAGAGACTATATCATTTAGCAATAAGCTTTGTGAATACAAAACCAGCTTTTCTGTTTCATCAGAACTTGTTTCTGTTCAAGGGTATCTTTACTTTACAAAAGAAGGAATTTATGCCTAAAAATAATTTACTTGTCAAGGTCTATATTAACATATAAAATGTGTATAATATGGTATCATGGTCTGTTTTACACAGTGTTGTGGGGTTTTGTTAGAGTACTACCACTTTCTTCTCACTAGAATATTACTGTGATAGTTTTGGAACATTACTACTCTGTTTCAAGAGGACTGTTAGTTAAAATATAGATTACAGTGTCATGACCTGTTTTACACAGTATTGCTGGCTATTGTTAGCTAGGTATTACTTTCTGTAATTGTAAAGATAAAATACCAAAAGCATTACATTCCTAAGTTGAGACATTCATTTTTCAGATCTCTTCATCAAGATGTTGATCCAAAGAAGAAGAAATACAGTGTGAGAAACTTTACAGTGAGATTAAGATTTCAGTTGTTAATGAGGTCATAATTATGGGTGATTTTAAATTCAGGCATATAAATTGGAAACGTTATCAAACCATGAGGGAGAAAGGTTTTTGGAAAGTGTTCAGGATAGCTTTCTTTACCAATTAGTCAAAGAACCTACTATTTTATATTTATTGTTAACTTCAAATACAGAAATTATTGAGGGATGGATATTGGGGAACATCTGGGTGCAAGTGATAATTGCTTTATTCAGTTCTATAGAAGAAAACAGAGGGTTGTTATAAATGGAGTTCCATTAAACTATATTAATATCCAAGTGGGGTACCTCAGGGCCTAGTCTTAGGACCTTTGTTCTTTTGATTTACATCAATGGCATAGATGATGTAATGGTCCATAAATTACTTAAATTTGTTGATGATATTAAGGTCTTCAATATTTCTGGTTGTGCGGAGAAAATTTAGATTGTTTTATGAGTTAAATGAATAAATGACAGAAGGCTTTTAATTATAATAAGTATAAGGTATCGTGTGTAAGTTATTATACTTATTATAATTAATATAATTTTGATGGGAATAACCCTAATAGTGTTATTGAAGAAGAGGATTTTGATGTAATGGTTGATCAATGTCCAAGCCATCCAAGCAGTGTGTTGTTGCTAGTGGCAGGGTAAATAGGATTTTAGGTTGTATTTATAAAAGTACTGAATACAAGTCTATAAAGGTTATAATTTCATTTATAGGTCACTGGTTAGGTCTCATTTGTATTAATTATTGTGTTCAGTTCTTGAGCTTCTTACCTTAAGAAGGACATTGGATTGTTGGAAAGGGTCCAAAGGAAGGCTACGGGGATGATACTTAGTATGGAAAAATTGTTAGATGACAATAGGTTAAGATATATAAAGTTCCAAAATGATACTAACTCCTCTCACCCATAGCTATCTCGCCCTTCAGTTGTCTTCTAGGCATTAGTAAACTTTTTTAAAAATGCATCAGTCTTTTATGCTCCTATATTTTTTGTATCCTTGCAGCAACATGTACTGATCATGTGACCATCCTCCACCAATTTCATTGCATCCTCTATACTAGCAGGTAGCTCCCTCTACCCCTGCGGCACAATCCTCATTTTCTTGATTGGCATTCTCCTGTACAGACGTGTTTTATGTTCTCCATGTGAGTGCACAATTTTTGATTGTGCTTGATCACCAATTAATATCAGTTTCAAGTTTGAGTTTTTACTCATTTGTTTTTGAGATGTTTCTGTTTCTTGAATTCTACTTTGTTCATATTAATTCAGGTTTCTTATGGCAGTTGAAAATTTTCCTGTCGTGAATAGACAGCGGTTATAACACTAGGCCTCAGTCTCAGGTGTCACAATGTCTGCTGAGGAAGCACAGAAGTTTGTTTGTGGGGATTTTGTGTCTTACGTTCGGCCTGCGATTTTTTCCTTTCAAGATAGGTATTGTTCTTTTTCCCAGGAGATCTGTGGTAAGTTTTTCAGTTTGTATTTCTCACTCCCTAAAGATATACCTATGTTCAATAAGTTTATGTGAGCTCGTGTGTATGGATCTAATTTCCGCACTCAATACTTTACATCATTCATGTCTTCTCTGGTCAGTGTTGTGTAAGTTTGAATTTTATACTTCTTTTACCATCTAGGTTACTTTAGTTTACAACTTGTGTTTATAGTTTGTTTCTTGCATTAATTTGGTTTAATATTTTAAATTTTTTCACTGTTAGTGTTAATGTTATTTAGTTATAATTTCTTTTTTTTGTATCTTTACTACTAGTCATCTAATTGGAGATAAGTTTGAGTTCACCTTTGTTTTTGTTAACTGGGTGCCTTTTTACTCTCATGTTCTTTAGGGTAAGTTTTCTTTTCATGTCCTTTGTCTTATAGTTTCTTTGAGTCAACTTGTATGTTCTGTGTTTAAAGGTCATTTATCCTATCAGTCTCTTTAGTGGTTTTGTACTTTAGGTGTTACTTATTGTTTTATGCTGTAGGTTGATTTTCTTAGTTTTGCCGGTGTGTTACTTTTAAGCTCTCTGTAGACTACATGTTGCTAAGTTTTTGTTAGTTCATTAATTCTGTGTACTTTCTTCAATTTTTTTAGTTTATGTGTCTTTTTTGCTACACTTCACAATGGTTCCGCTCTTGTTACAGGTTCTTTATGAGGGTTTCTAACTTCTGTTTGCTCCCCGTCTACTCGCTTCCCAGATCTCCTTTTCGAGATTGTACCTTGTTCGATCATCTTGCTCAGTCTGTTTCTGTCCTACTATACAATGGAGATATCTATTGTGTGGAGCCCACTCAACAAAGAGTTTACTCCTGTACTTTGCTTCCCTATACACTTTCTTGATCTGTTCTGGCTGTATACTTATCTGCAGTTGCCTCACTTCACCATGGAGTCATACCTCTCACTTTGGTGGGTTTTATGCCCTAGTGTCACATTCTTTTCCTTGGTTCCTCTAGGTGAGTTTTTCTTCTTGTTCTGGGTGCTCTGTATGTGTTTTGTGGAGTGGTTTGCTCTTTTTGCACATCATCTTCACTTTTTGGGTCTTCAGACTCGTATCTCATAGATGACATGCTTTTGGTTGATTCTCCCTGTGCCCAGTCAGTCACTCACACCCGCTTCATCCTTCGAGAAGCTTCTCAGGTTGGTTTCTTTTCTAATTGGAGAAGTCCTTTACTATCCCCTCACAGTATCTTATTCATTTGGGGGTTCTCTTCGCTTCCATTTTTTGGTTGAGCCCAGCCTTTTCCACTTTGGTTCCAGGATATCGAGTGGACAGTCACGTTTCCCAACTCTTTTCCTTCTCTCTATGTTCATGACTTTCTCTCTCTTTTGGGATGTGGTCTTCCTTAGAAGTGCTCATTCCCTTGGGTTGGACACACATGCATTCCCTTCATTAGATACTTCTCGACTAGTGAAACTTCCTTGTCGAACCATTGGACCATCCCATTTTCTTTTATTCCCCTGAGTTTTTGGGTCAATGGTCAGTCAAGGAGGTTACTCTCCATATCCACATCCTGGTACCTTAGCAGTTCATTGGGCTCTGTATTCTTTCCTCCCTTTCCTGTAGGGGAGAATAGTTTTAGTTCTTTCTGCAATTGCACTATGGTCAGCTTTATCCCCTATAAAGGGGGGATCACATACCAATATCTGTCTAGTCAGACTCTGGATTTCATGTACTGGGACAATGACCTTGACTATTCTGGTGGGTCATGTTCCCTGAGTTCTGATTCTTGTGGTCAATCTCTTATTGTGTCCCCACCAGGTCTCCACAGAGTGTTCTCTTCATCCTCACATTTTTCTGTGGGTGTGTTCTCACTAGGGAACACTGCATATTTGTATGTGTTTCCCATTCACTGACATACCACACTTTCCTCTTTTTAATCTTCATGTTCCTTACCATTCAGCTGTGGAGATGGATGCTTTCAATCTAAATTGGAGGGGTCTTCATCTACATACCTACTCTCCGATTTGACTCATTTTCTGGGTCTATTCCTTTATTCAGACCAAATCTTGTTATGCTCTGGTGGTTCTTCTGTATTGGCCACTCAGATGTGATTCCCTCTGCTCTGGCCCTTACTGGAGCAACAAATCTTATTCTTTTCTCTATCCTGTCCACTTCTCAGTCATTTGCAATCTAAAGTTTTTTTCATCCAGATGTCTCCACACTCCTCTTTTCAGAGTGACCTTTGTCCAGTCACGTGCCTCAGCTCAGGGGCTTGCCCCTATATGCCTACCCTCCATTCGAACTCCTCCTCTTCTGGGTCTTTTACCTTATTTAGACCCCCTCCTTCTTGTGTTCTTTTGGCTGCTCCAGATTTGCCAGCTCCGATGTAGTTTCCTCTGCTCTGGACCTTAATGGAACAACAGACCCTGCCTCGTTCTCTGTCATATTTGCTCCTCCGTCCACCTTGATTGGTCATTTTCCATCCCAACATCCCCATATACTGCTTTTAACCCATTAACTGCAGATGACAGATATTTCCATCATTGAAGTTCTTTGGTTCAGCTGCGAATGACGGAAATATCCATCAGTTGCACATATATAACTATAACTCTATGACGAAAATTACCGTTTTATTGTGATTGATGGCAACTCAATTTTATCTGTGAGTCAGAAAATGGCAACTGAGCTGCTCCTGCCGCAGGTAATGGGTTAATTGTTCTTGTTCCTGTCTCATTGTTCCATGGCATTCCTGTGTCTCATTATCTTTCTCCTATTATGGTCATGGGCTGGATTTGTCAACTCCTACGCCTGGAATATTTGGCTATGTCCCTGGATGGTCGCCATCTACATATTGCTTCTTCATACCTAATTCATTATCTAACTCTGTCTTTAGTTGCTCGATGCTGCCATCATTTGGAGGGGTTTATTTAGGCTGGTATATGGACAACTCCCTATACTTTCTTCACTCTTTCTCTACACAACTTTGCTGTGTCTTCCTTGGGCAGATATCATCATCTTCTTGTGGTGATTCTGCACACACCTGTTTGCCTGTGACTGGGGTAAGTTGTCATATTATTTGTTTTTTTTTCTTTTATCATTGCTTATACATCATATTTCATATGTTGCCTGGTCAGGTATGCTCAAACTTATATTTTAGCACTATAGCTGGATACTTCTCCAATGCTCACTGTGGAGATGGTTTGTTTCTGTAAGACCACCAGACTCTTTTCCAGTTGTGTATCTATATCTATGTATCACACTGCTGTTTAATCAATAACTATCTATCTATATATATAGACAGATAGATAGTTATTGATATATATATCCTTAGGACCATCACTCATGGACTTCATGAGTAAAGCAGATAAGGATTTTTGCCCATCCCTACTGACCCATGATTCTTACAATCTGGGACTTTCTGCTTTTCAAAATAAGTAAATGCAGACACCCATTGTACTGTCTCCTCTGGACCCCCAACACATCATCCCCCTCTCTTTCTTCTAGTGGAGCATGGGAGTTCTTGCCACTTCTGGTTCCCAGTCACTGAAGTGGTGGACCATGTAACTTTCTTCAGGAGTGGGTTTGTACAATAACACAATCTCGTAGTCATATGTACTCACTTGATGAGAAAAGGGCTATTGTTGTTATACTGCATGTTATACACACAATACGGCATGAAATCTATTATGCAAGGCACTTCCACTGGACGTTTTCTGACCAGATGGACTGCACTTGACATAATCCAATGTAAACCAAGGGGGGCTTCCCTTGAATATTTGTGCCTGGGTGGACCTCACTTAGCTATCTTGATATTAATCCAAGATGTTTCCCCTCAATGTTTTTGCCTGGGTGGACCATACTTTTTGATTTTATCTCTTTGTTGTGCTGCATATTATACACACAGTATGGCACAAAATCTATTATGTAAGGCACTTCCACTGGATGTTTTCTGCCAAGATGGACTGCACTTGACATAATCCAATGTATACCAAGGGGCTTCCTCTGGATGTTTTTGCCTGGGTGGACCTCACTTGGCTATCTTGATATCAATCCAAGATACTTCCCCTGGTTGCATTTGTTGATTTTACAAACATATGCAAGGTGCTTCCAAGTTGTTTTTGTCCTTGGACTGCACTTGGCATAATATGTTATATACCAAGGTGCTCCCCCTGGGTGTTTTCTGCCCAGGTGGACTGCCATTGGCCTATTCATATACGGTCCTCTAGCCCTAGCCATGTATTTTATTCATTTCTGCCCTATGTGTCTTATCTTAACTGTGTGAAGAGCATACCTGTTCCAGAAGTTGTGCTATACCCCACAGGTGTGCCTCATATTTCAATTGTGGCACATCTGACTTTTTCATAGTGGGTGCTTACCACTTGATTATTTATTTTTTGTGCCTTCACTGGCCCCTCAACCTTTCTAATGTGGGATTATAGCACCATTTCAGAAGTTAACATTTTATAACACTGAAAATGTATTTCCGATAGGTACTTACATCCTCTCACCCACTTCCCACCCTTCCTTCCTACTGATTTGCCAGTATTTTTGTATATTTTGAAATCACAGATTATGCCGCAAGGGTAGAGGGAACTACCTTCGCTAGTATAGAGGGCACAATGGGATTGATGGAGGGTGATCACATGATCAGCACATGGTTGCTGCAATGATGCAAAAAATATAGGGGTATAAAAAACTGGTGTGCTTTTAGAAAAGTTTACCAGTGCCTAGAGTGCAAATGAAGGTCAAGAAAGCTGTGGGTAAGAGGAGGTAAGTAACTATCGGAAATACATTTTCAGTGTCAGAAAAGGGTTAACTTTTCTCTTAAAAGGAATAATTAGAGGGAATGTCATCTTATATTTATTTTTAAGGAAATTGTAGTGTTGATTCATCATCTTTTCTTGTACTTAATGGTGAGAATCATAAGACAAGGAGGACACAAATATAAATTTTGGCAGAGTAGTAGTCATCTTCAGCTAAGATAGTTTAACTTTCCTGTTGGCCTGTGGAATGGGTTGTCTTCATATGTGGTGGATGCAGTAAATTTAAGGAAATTAAAGAGAAAACTTGCTAAATATTTAATGATAAGGGCTGCTTTAAAGTGTAATTTTGTTTGGTTTAGATTCATTATTTTAGTATATAGGACAGTGTTAGTGGACTAACAAAGCCCATTGTTTTTTGTAAATGTTATTAATTATTCTGGTTTTTATTAAAATAAAATACTACAAATGTTTGAAAGAAGTTAAAAATAGTATGTCTTAAAAACTACTTAAATATAATGAACAACAAAATGATGGCAGCAACAACGAACATTTAACATTTAAAATACGAAATAAAAGGATGAAGTAAATTACAAGACAAGCAAATAAACAAAGAATAGGATAATGAAACAATATTATACAATTATCCAGAACAGACTTAATTGTAGTGAAGTTGCATTATTATTAGAACATTGAAAATTTATTGCTTATATAAAAATATTTAAAACCGGATTCATAAGTTAGACCTCCTAGAGTGCATCTGTTAATCTGGTATTGATCCTAAATTAAGTTGTTAAATTAACCAAGTTAAGAAGTTAGTTTTATCAAGATTTAATATAGCATAATGCCAAGGTTGTATACATGTTAGAAAATATGGAATAATTTGAATTATTGAAATTTTGTACAGATTTGTACATTGGATTATTGCGTTATCTGAGAGTAAGGGTTGATGATTAACATACTCTACATGCAATAAAATTTCTGGGATGACTTGTGACCTTTTGCAATAATTTGTGTTTGATAATAATAACTAGAAAATGTTATAGTTTTATAATCCTGTACAATTAAACAATGTTCTTATTGCTAGTTTTTTTTTGTTTTATTTTTCCAGGTTGATATGTCAAAATTCCAACAAAAATATATCAGAAACTTTGGTATCATAGCGCATATTGATCATGGGAAAAGTACATTATCAGACAGGCTGTTGGAATATACAGGTTTGATATAATTGTATTGTCAGACAGGCTGTTGGAATATATAAGTTTAATACATTATGTTTTAGACAGGCTGTTGAAAGTTACTAGTTTGATACAATTATATTATCAGACAAGCTGTTTGAATATACAGGTTTGATACAATTATATTATCAGACAAGCTGTTTGAATATACAGGTTTGATACAATTATATTATCAGACAAGCTGTTTGAATATACAGGTTTGATACAATTATATTATCAGACAAGCTGTTTGAATATACAGGTTTGATACAATTATATTTATCAGACAGGAAGTTGTAATGTTTAGGTTTGATATAACTATATTTATCAATCAGGTTGTTGGAATGATCAGGTTTGATATTATTATATTTATCATTCAGGTTTTTGGAATGTTCAGGTTTTATATAACTATATCAGATAGGCTGTTGGAATGTTTAGGCTTGATATAACTATCAGATAGGCTGTTGGAATGTTCAGG